GTGCTTCACAGCCATTAGATCCCACAAACCCTCCTCCCTTCCCCTCTCCATGACTTAACAACATGAACTCTGACGGGTAAAATCCAGTGGCGTGCGTCTTTGGAAATGTGCAGGCGGTGGGCATGAAACACCACTTGGTGGTTAGCAGCATGCTGCGACCGTGATGGGAGCTGGTCGGTTCGGCCTGCCCTGCACAGAATACTCAGCTGTGCTCTGGCTGGTAAAACTCTGTCTCGCATACGTAACCAAAAGTCCCGCCAAGATTTGCGCTCACCTGGAGGAGGATGAAGAGGAGGAAGGATGGAGGAGGATGAGGAGAGAAGATAGTGAGTCTTATGAAACAGCACAGCCACAAAAAGCAGTGCAACAAAAGCAGCTGCTACTCTGGTATGCTTTTAAAAGTAAAGGGTCCGTGCCTCGGTTAAAGTTTTAGTTTCATATAAATAATTATCCAGAGAAATTTAAAAAAACGCTACACAATCGACAACTCGGGGTCAGGTCAAGTCGTGACTCTGCACCGTTTTTTCTCATCTTTCACTACTCAACAGTTCACTGGCTCTTTGGCTTCGTGAGGCAGCCGCACATGCTTTGACTGTTTATCATGCCTGCTCATGCGAGGGAATATTTCCTATGGAATAATAGTGTTCTATCTGTCAGCATGTATGCAGGTCACGTCAGTGTGTGTCGTGTGTGTGGTGGTGTGTGTGTGTTGTGTGTGTGTGTATTGTGTTCCCCTACCCTCCACTAGAGATTTAGGAGAGACGTTGGCTGCCTTGCGCGCCCGGCGGGCCAAGGTTAAGCCAATCTTCTCCAGACGCTTCTCGGTCAGACAGCGCCACATCTCATTCTTACTTGCCCTGAGGGGACAGGGAGACAAAAGCCAGTTTTAGGAGCTGGTACTGTGTTTTGTGTGGGTGTGGTGGTGTGTGTGGTGTGTGTCCTACCCCCTGTGTTGTTGTCTTTATGCGTTTGTTTGGTGTGTTGTGTGTGCTGTGGCTGTATGTGTGCATGCATTTGTGCAATATGTGTTTAACGTGAATTGTGAAGCTGAAATCTGCCCCTACAGTAGTTTCCTGTCAACATCGCTAGTTCCCTTGTATTTTCAGGTTTTCCAGCCTTTCATGCTTACTTTTCCTGGCATGTTCTCCATCCCATTCTTTAAGTAGTAAGTAGTACATTTAAGAACCTAGAAAAATCATTTATACAGAAATTGTTTTAGGTAATTTATTCAATGAAAATAACAAGTAGTATAGTGTTAAAGTATGTGTATTACCAGAAAAATGTATTAATATCAGAAAAAAAGTAGTAGTTGTAAAATGTCTTCTGTGGCTGTGAGGAGTTTCGTGAAGTCTGAAAAAAATTCAAGAGACATTACTTGAGTAATTTCAGCGTGACATCCTGCGTTACAAAACTGAGTTTTAAAGAAGGAGGGAGGCTAATAATAGATGCTATCAAGCTGCATTATGGGAGGTGTAGGATCCAGTGTTATTATAGGTTTTGTGAGTGTCCTCTGCTGCTTTAGTTTTGATCATTCTTTTTTTAGACACTCCCATGTGGGTTGCCCAACTTAAAAGAAGTGTAATATTAAATTAGTGAGGCACTCCACTAATTTAGGAGATTTTTCAGGGCGTGTAATGCTAGATACCAGGTCTAATACATCCATGCCAGATGCTGATAACATTAATTATGGTAAAAACAAATGACTAAAGGCTTCAGTTATATCAAGTTCTTTTATTATTTTTAAATGTAATCTATTTTATGAGAATGCGATAAAGGTTTACAGAAACAATAAGTTACTAATTTCCACAAAACACAAAATATGTAGTTATTGTTTTTGTTTACCAGCAACAGATTTGTGAGCAAACAAACCTACATTTTGGCCCCCAAGACAGTCTAAATGTACTTTACTTGTAGGTGCACTCTTACTGTATAATGTTAAATATTGTACCATGTGCTGTGGCCAAAGGGCAAAAGCAATATCTTTAAAAAAAAAAAGGCACCTGCATGCTGAATAAATGCTCCTGAAAGATTTATTCAGGGAAGCAGTGACATTTTGACACTGCATCTTTATCAGGATGTTCGATTAATGAGCCCCCCACCCAAACTCCAGCTGCCATTCTGTTCAAGGTGTTAAAATTTCCTGCACCTGTTTCTGGTTTCAGGATAAAGGCCAAATGTATTGAAATGGGTTGATTGACAGAGAATCTCAGAGTGCCACACTAACTAACCTTTTTCCTCTCAGGGAGATCTGTAAGGAGTTTGTGGACCTGATGTCCCAGGACCGTTCTCCACTGGGCGGCAGTCGACCCACCCCCTGCCTGGAGCCCGGTGTCCAGGGAAGCCTCACCCACTTCAGCCTGCTCACCCACGGCTTTGGTACTCCCGCCATCTGCGCCGCGCTCTCCGCCTTCCAGAGCTACCTGATGGAGGCGATCAAAATGCTGGACAAAGGAGAGGGGGGAGGCAAGAGCCACCACGACAAGGAGATGAAGCACCGCAAATAAGAGGGAGGACGGACAGATGTGTTGATGGATGGATGGACGGACGGATGAGAGGCAGGAAGGAAGAGAAAAGAGGGGAGGGAAAAAGACTGACCGGTGCCCCTCTGCGTCTTCACCTTCGCCCTCAGGATAAAAACTGAGACTTTTTACCTCCCAGAAACCCCTGCGGCCCCTCTCGTCGAGGAATTCGGGGTTCATGATGATATCTGTACTGTAATGTGTGTCCACAACCACCTCACTTCAAAATGACGCATGGACCTCTCTTCTCAGTAGCCGGTTTGTGTCATGATGGCGTCTACAAAAGCTCTTCAGGATGAGTTCCTACATATGCTTTTATTTATTCCCCCCACCTTCTCCCCCTTTTTTAATTTTATTTTGGTAAAAAAAAACGTCACTTTTATCCGTGTTTTAGAAAACCCCTGCCTTCATTCATTCACACTCACACACTTATACACATTTTTGGACTGAACTCATCGGGGAAGTGTTGTAAGCCATATCCGAGACAACAACCTGCTCTTTGCTCCTTTGGACCTTTGGGAGACTTTTAACTCCACTCTGATTGGACGAGCACAGCTTCCATATGTAGTTCTTCTTAATTGGTGGTCATGGGAAATTGAGTTCTCTGGGTTCTCTAGCGGTGAGGTAAGGAGGAGTCAAAGGCAGCTAAAGGAGAATTGTTTTCTTTTATTTTGAAGTACTACGTGTTGGTAACTTAAGAAAATAACACAAATCATTTTGTACTTTCTGTGTATGTTTATTATTAATGTTATTACTGTTGTTATTATTATTGTATTACGGCATAAATGTAATATATTATTAAACAATTAAGAACGGATTGGTTGAGTTTCCCGAGTATGTTTTTATGTTTTTATCTTTGATATCAGAACAATAAAAAGTAATGGCACCTTCAGGTACCTTTAAACACAACTGCCCACTTCCACTTACTTTTAAATTCAAAGGTTTTTATGGTGCTTTTCTCTTTCCCTTTGTCTCAATAATGATATTTTTTATTGATCCCTGTGGGCAAAGTCTACTGTCTACGGTTATAGACGCCTGCAATTAACACTTAATGTCCATTATTGATCGATCTGTCGATTTATTTTATGTTTTTGTTGATTATTTGCTTATTTTATAAAATAATGAAACATCTCTGTTACAGTTTCCCAGAACCCAAAGTGATGTTTTGAGTTTGCCTGTGTTATCTGGCCAACAGTCCAAAACCAAAAGAGTTTCAATCTACAATGATATTAAACAGACTTTTACTGGTTTTTAGATCTGGCAGCAGCATCATGTCAAACTTTTAATTAGTCCAATTGTTTGTTTTATGATCAAATACCTGGAAAAAGAGCCAATATCAGTCTCAGCTGTACTTTTGCTAATTTGTGCATGATAACGTCATTGTGAGCTTATTAGTTCCTTAGATTTATTGTTTGTAGACTTTAACTATTAATCTAATTGTTGAGTAATTTTATATCATTCTACTTAACGATTAATCAGCCAATTAACCCTTCCTAAGACCCGCCCCTTTTTGCCCTGTGCTCCAATAACCATTGAGCAGGCCTCTGCCAAATTTTGAGGAGGTTAAAAGATAAAAGCAGCAATTATATATTCACATCTTAAGTTAAGCTAATGATAACAAAATGCTAGCTAATTAGCCAACCAATCTACATAAATCCTTTGCTAGTTAATTAGCTAGCTAACGATTGATGTCACTTCCATTTAATTCAATTATTATGATTATATTATTATTATTATTCCAGGACATTTGTTTATTTCATATGTATTTTATTTTCTTAACTATTTGTATTCACATTCATTTTTGTCAATTTTATTCTTTAAAGTTGTTATTATAATAATTGTGCTTTTGGCAACACATGTCAAATGTCATGCCAATGAAGCCCATTGAATTGAGTTCTAGAGGAGCATTTGGCTAACATTGGCTGACTTAACATGTGACTATATATGTGTAGAGGAGCCTAGCACATAGCATATCTCAGTACAGGAAAGGAGAAAGTTGAACCAGGTTAGGAAGGGGCAGGACAAAGGAAGGGTCAATTGTTTTAATTCATTTAATTTAATCTACTTTAATTGAATTTAACTGTTTCGCTTAAGGGGATTTAACAACTCCAGCCTGGTTTTAGAGGCACATACGTGTATCATGCTCAAGAAAATGTAGTTTTACACTCCAAAGGGCCTCTTAAAAAAATAAAATAAAATCAGGGCCCCACTATGCATGCAGGGGCCCAGGGAGACGGTGGCATCACAGCTGCAGTCCTGAACACTACCTGGGAGAGCGGAGGCAGCGGTGCGACCCCCCAGCGCCCAAAAAACCACACACACACACACACACACCTCGGTTCCCCCTCAATCCATCTGTTCTGCATTTCTCCCACCGACCACCTCTCACCTCCCCTGCACAGTCCTTCGCTTTATTTAACCAGGATGAGATACTCAACACAATTACTGCTTTCCAGGGACTGTGCACATACACATGTCGCCTGCTCGTACACTCTCAAACATCACTCATTTCTACCTGCCGTATGTCCCTTTCTCTCCTCCCATCTCATTACCCTCCTGTGTCAATTCCCCCCTCATTCCCTTCATCTCCCTCTCTTGTAACCTAACTCCCACCCCTCCTCTTCCTCCTCACCCTCCCCTTCTCTCCCCTATTCTCTCCCTCTATCTGACACTCAGCGGGGCCGCTCTCCATCTCTCTCTGTGCCTCCAGGCAAACATATGCTGCTCTTCCCGTCAGATTCCGGTGTGTTTGAGAGAGGAGGGATTGTTTAATGTTTATTAATCACCTGTCTGCGGTGGAGAGAGGAGACGAAGATAGAGCCACACACACACTGTGTCTCTCTCTCTCTCTCTTGTACACACACAGCTGTCTCGCTCACACATACACACATAGTCTCATTCAGTTGTGATGTTACCAACTTGGCCTGGTTTTCTCCGTTTACAGCTGTATATAAGTGTGCTCATTTACTGTAACACTCCCTGTGTACTGTCAAAATGTATTTATTTCAGCTGCTACTTTTTAGCAAATCATTAAGCTTTATTTATTTATTTATTTCACGAAGATCATCCTGTAAACTAGACCTACAGGCCCATTCTTGAGCTTTTCATTTGAAACCAATTTCAGGCACAAATACATTTAAAGTGTTAAATTCCTGCACACTCTACTAGAAACACCAGCTCGTACATCATGCAGCCTGTGGCTCTCTAGCATCAAGATCCCTGATAAAAAGGTCTTGAATGAACGTTGGATTTTCAATCTTCTTAGCGCAGACGAGCAGTGGCGGACTCAGGCTGTCTGAGGGGCAGGAGCAGTAAAATAAAAAGGGCGCCAGCATGCAGAAAGTTATGATGCATTTATGATGAAACAGTTCCAAATCCTGCTTAATGATTGATAAAATTTGTGGGCTGTGGGGCATGAATTTTTTTTCAGGTTTGCCAGAAAAAGTTTGAGAACCACTGATTTAGAGGCACGTAGAGGCCCACTGATTCAGTAGCATGTAGTGCATCTTATATGGCCCTGCATCATGTTCTCTCCACCTAAAGGGCACCCTAGAGGGCACTTTATCACATTTTCTTGTACATTGGGTCACTGTAGGGACACTTTATCATGTTTTATGTAGCATAGAGGCATCCATGAAGATGGCGACACCAGGACGGTGTGACCCTGAGTCTACCAGTGCTTTTTATGTATTTAGCTAAAATATTGCCATATTTTTTAGTATGTCGTATGCTTCTTTTTTGTGTTTCTTTTTTTATCTTATATAATGTAAATGTGAAATATTAATAGGAAAGAAGGTACGCAATACTAAAGTGATTCATTAAAAAACAGATTAGGTGCCTGGTCCATGTAAATTAGCTAAACTCTGGATGTAGAAACCAGAATGTGTGCATTATTAATTTATTTTTGCATTGGGAAAATGAACAACAACAAATGTATGTTCTTAATGCACACTGGTGATAACGTCGGGAGCGACAGAGGAAACATATTGGCTGCAAAACTAAAAAACATTGTTCATTCAAAGCAGTCCCATCAACTTGAGCAAATATCTTCCTTTTCTTTGCAGCATTCTGTATGCTGACATTGTGGGCTTCACCAGGCTGGCCAGTGACTGTTCTCCAGGTGAACTTGTGCATATGCTGAATGAACTCTTTGGAAAGTTTGACCAGATTGCAAAGGTAAGCCCATCTTCATTTATATATATACTATATACAAAATACACAAGGACACTGTGTATGCTTCACATAAAAACAGTCACAGCAGAAATGGAAGAAAAAGTAGAAAAGGGAAGGGACACCTGCCCTCAAACACACATACAGTACGTACACCAGAAGAGGCTGTTCATCTCTTTTCTAGTCCAGGGATGTCTGTTCTCTCTGAAAAAAATATTTAATTTTACAACAGTTCTGTAAATCCTCTGTGTTGATTCAGCCCTATTGCAATATTCTGTACTGTGCAGTGGTTTGCTCCTCGCTGTACAGTATGTGAATGAGGTAGACAAAATAACATAAAACCTTAAACTAAACCCACTATATTTTTAAGATTTCAGTGAGAAACTTGTTGTGTGAAGCTCTGTCAGACTTCATTCAATGGATTTTGGATAAGAAACCCACAAATCACAGTGTATATAATATAATAATAACGGCATCATACTGAAATATATGTCATTTTTAATGAAAAATTAATTTGGATTCGATGGAGAAATTAAGGATGTTTAGGACATAAAATAAATGTGTTTTGGTTCACAAATATTGCGTTTAGCTAATGTTACCTGAAGTCTATAACATTTGACTTAATTTGATTAATATGCACCAATTGGTTAAGTACAAATGAAGAAGAGAGAACACAGTCTATCTTGTGCTGTCAATCAAATGAAGCATGGCCTTGAAATGAATGTTTTCTCTGTCCTGCGGCCAGTGTCGGCCTCCGTACCGTACCTTCCCAGAGCGCCATGCTTGTTAACAGCTGCAGGTTGTAGCAGTGTGGGCTGGTCAGAGTGTATCTCGCGGTCTCATGGGTACTCTTGCTATTCGGCTCTAAACGGTTGAGTCAGGCTCTCTCAGCTTTTTGTCCAGCAGCTCTGTCCTTCCGCCTGACGAAGCTGCCGTTATGTAAACTCGATCCAACGATGAGCTGTTACACATCCCACATGTGGAATAAGAGCTAATGTGTGAGGTGTGTGGGTGTACCATTTTGGGCTTGATGGATGTGACTGCTTGTGTGCGTAAGGGTTGTGTGGAGGTGAGAAAGAGCGCGAGGAAATAGTTAACTGTTATATCGATCATGCTGGACAGATTGTGGAGTTTAATGAGAAATGTACACTTAATCACCATTTCCCTCATTTTTGCTTTACTGTCTATTTAAGGAAAACGAGTGTATGCGAATCAAGATCCTGGGAGATTGTTACTATTGTGTCTCTGGTCTGCCTGAGTCGCTGCCTCACCACGCCAGGAACTGCGTGAAGATGGGCTTGGATATGTGTGAGGCCATCAAGTAAAATACCAGATCTCTCTCTCTTTCTCTCTCCCTCGCTCTCTCTCACACACACGCACAAACGGAAACACAAACACAAACAAACACACGCCTGTCAAACAGATTGAGCAGAAGGAATGCCAGACTTGATTTCAGCTCTGTTTGAACTCCAGAGTAAACACAATGTGAATTCAATATGATAAGCTTCCCATCTGAACAAATACAAATTTCAAGCAAATGAAAATAAATATTCCCTTTCTGCTCTGTCTTTGGCTCGTGCATGAAAACACACACATTAGTTTTATAGACTAATGTTTGCTCGCAGCCTCTGACCTTTAATCACAATCAGATTAAACATTCAGTGTTGTGCACCTCTGACATGATGATTTTAGCGCAGTTGTGGTGGATTTTCTACCCTGACAAGAATTCAATTCCAGATGAAACACTGAATCATTTTACTTGCAGCATTGGCAGCGGTCTATAAATAGAGACAATATTACTCATATTAGTTTATAAAAATGCAAATGTTCAACATTTTGGTGGATATGCTTGATTAGCCAAGAAATAGCTCCAGCACAAAACTCCCCCATAAAACCAGTAGCCTAATTGTCATTCATCTTGTCTATATGTGTTTGTGTACTGATTAAATCAATGAGATACAATGTGTTACTAATGGGACCAACTTAAAAACAAAGTGATCCATCTCAAGGGTTTAATCCTGTTGCAATAACCTTGTGTCATTTTTTAGCTTTAGAGGTGTTATGCATATTAGCGTTTTTAACAGCTCCAGGCCCCCTTCCCCCGGTCTTTATGCTAAGCTAGGCTAATTACATCAAAACTCCGGCTCTTTACTCAACATTAGGACTGATATTAACCTTCTTATCACACTCTCAGAAAGAGAGCACCTTTTCCAAAATGGTGAACTACTCCTGCAAAGATGAATTGTTTGCTCTGTACGCCACAGGAAGGTCCGTGATGCCACTGGAGTCGATATCAACATGCGTGTCGGTGTTCATTCTGGGAATGTCCTGTGTGGTGTGATTGGCCTCCGGAAGTGGCAGTATGATGTGTGGTCACATGATGTAACGCTAGCCAATCATATGGAGGCAGGAGGTGTGCCAGGGTAAGATATAAGATATGTACTTTAAAGAATGTTTCATTTGATCTCATTGTGGTTGCAGTGCCGCTTTGCAAATTCTTTAAATGATTGTGTGTTTGGCAAACAAAAACAAGGCGTGTACCTGCTAGGTTGCCAGTTTTAGTTGTTAAATCAGACAGGGAGCTATGCTTTGGGAATTGACTAACACTTTCTGTTCTCTTAGTGATTAATGTTGAGTTGCACTTTAGCAAGTCGGTGAATTCCCATCTGTTCCACTGCAGTTCCATGTGGCCTAAAGTAGAAATGAGCAAGTCCCAGTGGCCAGCAGTACCATAGTATCATTATCTTGAGTTTCAGTGGAGAGCCTGTGTCTTGAGGAGGCTGTGTTGGTGTTTTCGCCCTCACAAAAATAACACCCAGTACTTGCATCTTTACTCTTTTCATTTTTAGGGTGTAGAATTATCTGTAATCAGCATGAAATATTATAGACCAGTCCAACTTAAAAAAATATTCATATTAGCATCAGTGTTCTCAAATCAATGTTGGCTGAACCCCAGTAAACCACCCCCTTAAAACCAAATATGAAGATACACCTGAGGGAACAACATATTGAGAACAACCACAATCATCACTCAGCTGAAAATATTTATATATTACATAAATACATTTGTATGAGTAATTGTGAAATGCACATGTTTGCAAGAATGACATGGAACATGGGATATGTCAGTTCTAATTCTACCCCGTTCTAAATATTTTAGACAATTACAGCCACCTGATTTGACCAATCAGCTCTACATTTGTTATGTGGCCATTAGTTCTGCCATCCCAGCACTGTAACAAGCATGGGAAAATTGGCTGGTGGTTATTGTATGCTACACTGAAAATAAACTCTTCGGTGCCAGCACGTTGTCTCACTGGGCTGCTAATGGTTTGTCTCCTCTTATCCCTGCTGAAAGGTATCTGAAAAAAACATGCCCGCTGAAAAAACATATTCCCATTTCCATCCCTCTCTGTTTGTAAGGGTAAAAAACAAATCTGAAACAGGAGAACTGCAGGTTAGTGTAGTTATAAAGCTGGAAAATATATAATATGTTTGATAGACCTGTTAATGGCAAAATGACGCAAGCTCTTAACCTCTCATTATCTGTCCTCTCATCCCCAGGAGGGTCCACATCTCTTCAGTGACGCTGGAGCATTTGAAGGGCTCATATAAGGTGGAGCCTGGGGACGGGCAGAGCCGAGACTCCTACCTGAAAGAACATGGAGTGGTCACCTTCCTGGTCATCAACCCCAAGGTAAGATACTTACATAGTTTTATACATTCACGTACAGTCAGAAAACACTGTTAAAGAGGTTATTCTAGCACAAGAAAGAGCAGATGTGGGCAATTGTCACCTACAGGGTAAATATAAAAAGTTTTTCTTTGGCTAATATTTCGAGATACTTGCAGTGTTGCTCTATGTATGCAATGTTGGTTGGTCCACCACTTTGATCCAGACTGAAATATCTCAATAACTTTTGATCGTATTTTCATTCATTTGGTATTACTTTTAATTTGTTTTTAAATAAACTCTTACATTGTCCATGTAGAGACTCTTTATGGCATAGTTATTTTTCATTCGATGAAACTTTGCTTGAATTTAGTGGAAACCGTCCTCCTGTTGGGTGAACATTGTCATGCTTTAACCATTACTTTCGCTTTACTTTACTTTTTTTATGCATTCAACGACTTCAATAACTTCATGAGTCACAAACCATAGCAACAATAAGTGTGTCCCAGCCATTTTCATCACTTGTTAGTGTCCTCTAGAAATAGGTTCTGTTGTTATCTGTGATACTTGCAGCAAATTTGGTTGTGTTTTCTAAATGCTGCACACGTGTTGTCCAATTGTTAAAGATGGTTTCTTAATTTGCTTGTGTTTTGTCAATTTGCATGTGTCTTCTTAAGTTGTATTGTGTTGAGCTCTTACAGTCACTGTACAATATTGAACTGCTGTCTAAAGAATATCCATAATTGTTGCATTATAGTTTGAGAAAATTGTCTGAAGCTAAACATTTTACTCATTTTAAAAACCTTGTGAATTAACTTAAAAAAAGTTTATCTACTTTTCTTAGTTTATGAAAAGTAGAGTTTTCACAGGGCAGCAAAAATATTAGATTCACTACATTACCTGTATATATCATTAGGTGTGATCAAGTTTAAATATTCACATAGTGTGTACGTCAGTATGCAGCAGCAGAAACTAGGCTACTTATAGAATCCAGCTTGTGTACTGGGTCACGATGATATAATGAGCCAGGATGCAAAAATATGAGGATCTATTTTCAGACAAATATTTTGATGTGCAGGTTAGGTTTACACAGGTTTTTATCCTGCCAAGAGCAGAGTGGGCAGCTAAATATTTCTGACAATGTCGAGTGTAGGTAAATAATATTAGCGTGTAGTGAAACAGTGACAGTATGTTATCTAATGAACAACATCTCGGCTGTTGTTCAGTCGATCACTCTACTTAGAGAAGGTTCTGTTTGAAGTTATCTTTTCCCTGCAGACATAGTGCAGGTCCTCGTGTCGAACCAGGACATAAAGGGCTGGTTAGGGACATTTAAGAGATCTGCCTCTTCTGTGAACTTTCTGCCGAGAACATCTCTATATAGAATATATTATTGGCATCCAGTCTGTGCTCAGTGTTTTTGGCTTGGCAAATGAGAAACCGTGCTTAACAGTCCTCTGCCTTCCTAATCCCTCCATAACTTGGCTAAGATGCACCCACCCCCTTAAATATCTGCAGTAAGACCTTCCCTTTTTCTCCTTCAGGCATACTGTGCTCACTATCCGCTTGCTTCATAGACCTCATGGTTCTCAGTGGCATCTCTCTTCTGAAGAATTAAGGCATTTATGCTTTCCAATGCATCTTTTGAAAACACCATCAGTGACACACAAAGCCAGTCTGTCTTTTCAACATTGATTCCTCCAAATCTGGTTCTTTGGCTCCCTTTTGTTTTCTCGTTTCCATCTTTTGATTGCAATCCAAAGAGCTTGACCAAGGAATGGTAGCTCATCACTTTAAACGCTCTCCCAGTGCAGCATATTGCAGTGGAATATTGCAAGAAAAACACAGTGAAACGAAACAGTTACCTTGCTGATGTAAATGATGGAGCATATTTTGTTTGATAATGCTGTGATTATGATCTCTCAGACTGTCAGAAAAAATCTTCTTTTTCTGTGCTGCATATACTGTCCAACTAACATCAATCCAATCACATATTTCGACACACTTTATCAGTGGGCAATATGTTTCCATGATCTATTGTCCACCAGCTGTTCCGTTTTGAAGAAGGGGTTATTTCTGCAATCATACAAGCTGCATGTTATCAGCTGCCTTTTCAATAGTACTCTCTGTTCCCTGCAGTGTATTAGTGCATTTCAGGAGAGATTGGCACTCACCCTGTTTGCATGTTTTTTCAACTTTTCTGGTATCCCATTTATGAATGCAGAGTAGCAACACTTGAGTAGAGAGAGCTAATTTACTCTGGCTCCATGCAGCCCTGCACTAATTAACTAAACCAGCACTTCTAGGCCTAACCTAAGCCTCTGGGTATATAAACTGTGGTCATTTTACATTATTATCCTTATAGGTGAAGGTATCTACAAAATAGGACGAGATGCTACTGTGTGTCCTTTATTTACTGTAATGGAGATAGCTTTTCAATATCCTATAAGATATTGGAAAAATGCTGTGGGTTCTCAGTGACATTTTCAAGAAGCCCCTAAATGAATCAAGGCCAAATATGGAGCATGGAGGTGTCATCTTCACTGTCACTGTCATTGATTGTCACTGTCAGAGTTGTTCAGTACACCCATGGGAAATGAAGACTGCCATTATAGACAGTGTCTGTTCCAATTCGTATAGGCCTATGTGCCATGTTGGGTTTGTCACAACACCTGTCTCTATAAGCAACTGAAATAAATCACCAGAGGAATATAACAAGAAACATCTTCTGACAAATCCTCCTGAAGGTTTTATCTACTCCATTTTCACATGAACGTTGGAAAAGGGAAAAACTCTTTCACTGCGGTATGGCTTTGTGCAGGGCAATGTTTCTGTCAGCAGTAAAGTGGTGTGTGTTTGTCAATGAGAAGCACTCAGCATACGTGCCAAAATAAAAGGAGAGCTGCACCATTCTCTAAAAGTGTTTTAAGTGTCTCAGAAACATTCACAGGCAGGTCACGGATGTCAAGAGCTGTCAATTGACCACTGTTCCCAAAGTACCCAGTCCTTTTTACTTTACACCCACTGAGTGTGAGCATTAGATACCGTTTGTCAGAAATAACGGTCTGTACGTGAAATGTTTGTGGTGAGTTATGTACACCAGCCGAATAGGTTTGAAATGCTAACTTACGTGATCTCGCTTTCTCTCTGTGTGTTATTATCTGTTAGTCAGAGAATATTCTGCTCCAAAAGATCATTTTAAAAATATGCTGTGAGGTTGGTTTTTTTTTGGAAAACAATACTTTTCAGGAGATATTACAGGTTTTGTAGGTTATTTTGTAGACAAATTGAAACTAACTGTATGATATTGACATTGTATTGAAATTACATGAATTACAAAAGTGTTGTAAGCAATAAAATGCACCCTTCAGTTCAATTCAATACACTGAGGGGTTTTGCTGAAACCTAAATTAGTCCAGTATGATCGTTAGCTTATTGCTATTTTTAGCTAAGTTTTGATAGATTAAGCAATTACAGAATCAGTTGACTCTTTTCTAACTGTGCTACCATATCACTTAATTGTCAATTGTGACCACAGGGGACGCCTTTCAGCAATAGTCAGATAGTCTCACTCTATTTGGTTGGTGTCATTCAACTCACAACATAATCGCTTCTCTTTATTCCTGTTGGGTTTCCCAGACTGAGAGGCACAGCCCTCTGTTGGGTGTGCGCTCCCGTCCCTCTCTGGACGGCGGGAAGATGAGGGCGTCTGTCAGAATGACGCGATACCTGGAGTCCTGGGGCGCTGCCAAGCCCTTCGCCAACCTGCACCACAGAGACAGCATGACCACAGATAATGGCAAGATCAACACAACTGTAAGTACAAGGCAGTGCTCGCCCGTCTTTCAAGCAATCAAACACGTACCCACACAGACGCACATATCTGTCATTAACAGATGAATTGTCTGACTCCTGTTTCAGGATGTTCCAATGGGGCAGTACCACTTCCAGAGAAGGGAAAGGTGAGCTAGGAGCAATACTCCTTCACAACATTTCATCACATACACAGGAGCACGTTTATTCTATGTCTCATGTTTAAATCTGTCCACCCTTCACTTTGATCCTAGGTCCAAATCTCAAAGGAGAAGGTTTGAGGAGGAACTAAATGAGCGAATGATTCGCACCATCGACGGCATCAACTCGCAGAAGTAAGCACTCTTCACAATCACAGGTCACACACAGTCACTTCAGATAAGGGTCCTCCTGGTAGTAAGCAGTATAAACATCTAGTCAGAAGAAGCATCTTCAGGAGTCCTCTGATTACGGTACTAACTGTAGTAATACTGAACCATAATGACTTACAGAGACCGACAGTTAATCAAATAAGAAATATCAGTCAGTCAAAGAACGTAAAGTGGTTCAAAGTGTGGCTAGAGTACCACATGTAGTCCAAAAACCCATTTGTTCTATCTTATTTTATAGATTGCAATTTTATCACTGCTTATTAACAAAATGAGTAAACTACCCTTATTTCCTGTGTTGTCTTTGGTATTTCACGGTGGATTTTACATAAGCAATAGCAAGCTGACCACCGTTCCCCCCAGCTAAATCTTTGCTAAGGCGCTGGAATGTCTAAAGAAAGTGAAGATTTCCACACACTTAGATCCATGCAATATATCACAATATATTTTTTAAAATACATATAAATATATATATTTAAAATTAAGCTTTTGAGGAAATGTCGTCTGCAAATACTGTGAGGCATACAAACTGAAGGGGAAACAGAAAAGGGGGTGGAACACAGTGAATATAGGAAAAACATAAAAAGAGGAAGCACCTTACAGTTTCATGACATAGTAAAGGGGGCTTTGAAAAGAATTAGGCTAGGGTTGTCATAAATCAGAGATCCCCAGATCTATAAGAGACCACAAATATCTCACCAGTAGAAGAAAGAAGAAATATAGAAAAAAAAACCTCTTGGATCAATTCAATATCAAAATCCTAATTGAGGCCCGTGGGCTGAAGCGTATCTAAAGTGTCAATTCAAAAAAGCTCCCTTTGGCATATCTTTCTTTCCATATCTCCTCCTCTTGGTAATTCAATTGTTCAATGTTCTGGAATCATAGAGAGGAGATAGGGTGTGAAAATTCATTGACATGACGGGCAATAATTTTTACCCAATCTGGGATGTCTAAAAATATTTTTCCATGTGTGTAGAGGAGCTAAAAGAGTCCTGGCTTTTTGGACCTGCTTTAATAATTAATTAACTCACAACAGCTTATTGCATAAGTTAGGATCTCTCCTATAGACTACAGATAGATATAAAATGCTGTCTAAAGTCACTTTTATCTTCTTTGACACTTTTTTTCTAGTAGATCAGAGCAGGAGTTAGAAAATGCAACTGGTTAAGCCTGATCAATACACTGTAAAGAGTAGCCTTTTTATCAATAAAATCCTCATTAGAGTGACAAAGGTAACTGAATCTATAAAACTGACTCTTTGGAAAACCATATTTCAGAGCCCTGAGATGAGCACTGCTGGCTAGGAGGAATGTCTGTTTCTTTTTTATATAAGGCTGTAATGAGGCTCCTGTTGCTTAATTCCGTCCACATATCCATAAAGACACACTTTTATGATCATATTCAACTGAGAACTTAAGTTCAGGGTCATAACATTAAGATTAGGATTAACAAAGTCATTTAACTAATGGCTAAAAAATGCAGAAGGTAGCATCTAGATATTCGAACCTTTTGAGGATTTTGTGGAGGGTTATGTCAAAAACATAACTGTGTAAAAAGAAAATCCATATATAAATCATCATATTCTGGGGCAAAAGCAGAACCCATAGATGTACCTTTGAGTTGAAGGAAGAAATCTCCAATAAAGGAAAAGTAGCACAGAAATCTTCACTTTCAGTTTCGATATAAGAAATAGAAGCAATTCTTTTCCGAATGCACAGTATTTACAGTGTAATTTAAATCTAACCCAATAGAGGGCACCGGTTTATTTAATCATTTATTTTATTAATGAAACAAGAAAAAGCTCTCTGGCTTTATTCACTGAAAATGCAGTGTTGTCTTTGCACATTTCATAAAATTACTGATGAAGACAAGAACCAGTAATGTTCATGTTTGACTTATTCATGAGTATTTTGCTTATTACAGCACCACAAGGAGTTACAGAATAGTTTTCAGATACCACATAACACAACTCAGAGCCTGGTCCCTCTGTATTTTCTGAATCCTTCTGTTTCGCTTGTGTCTCCAGACAGTGGCTGAAGTCTGAGGACATCCAGAGGATCTCATTGTTCTTTCACAACAAAGCTCTGGAGAAAGAGGTAGGCCAATGCATACAAATCACCAACTAGCATTGTTCACGGGGGAAAACAAATCAATGGAATTGTAGAGTTGTCAGTGAAACAGAAGTCATTAAGCAGCCTGTACAACCTTATAGCACACAGATACTATATATTCCATACTACAACTTTGTCCTCAAATTCTTATATTTTTCTCATCATTTATAGATTGTTTTTGCTTCATTCTTGCTTCATTCAAGACATAGAGTTCTGGTATATTCTTACATGGTGCATGCTCAGTGTTCATTTTTGACATTGCCTGTACACATCCTCATAACGTTATACACAATTTTCCAATTTTCTGCCTTATCTTCTCTCAACAGTACAGATCAACAACACTACCAGCCTTCAAGTACTATATCACCTGCGCCTGCCTCATATTCTGCTGTATATTCATAGTGCAGGTCCTCGTCCTGCCCAAGTAAGTCTGCACCCCTTCACTGGATTTACACTGCACAGCCCGCATAGCACCAGCAAACTCCTGCTGTGGCAGCGTGTTGATGTGAAAAAGCCATTTGACGCCAGCTGTCTCATCAACAGGACCGCTCTGAAATGAAAGAGGCAGGGGGGCACGAGGCAGAATGCTAAAAAGCAGATCGAGATGAAAGGGCACCATGTCTGGTAGTGACTATAGATCAGGTGAATCAAAGTGTGTCGCCTCTTTAATGGCGAGGAGAGAAATTCACGGTCATGCTAATTTACTGCCTCTGGGAGCCAAAGGTGTAATTCAGCATCTGAGATGCCATTGATTGTCTAATTCACCTCTCTCTCTCTTTCTCTTTGCTCTGTTTGTCGAAGCATTGCTCTGCACGTTTAGAAGTGACTTCATCTGCTTTACGGCAGTTATCCTTAAATCAGCTATACTGTGTTCCTCCCGTGTGATACATGAACATAACTTCATTACGAAGCATACACAGAATGCTGCTGTACAATCTATAGTTATGCTTATTCAATGGAAATGTATTACAGGTCTGAGTTAGAATCTCCATCACATTTATTGCCCTGGATGGCGATGCAGAGGGCCGAGAGGTGCCAACAGGGTTTAGAGTAATGCGTGTGTGTGTGTGTGTGTGCATGTGTGTTGCAGAACTGCTGTGCTGGGGATCTCCTTTGGCCTGGCATTCCTGCTGTTGGCTGTGATCCTGCTCCTTTGCTTCGCTGGTCACATACTGGTGGGTTTGTACAGATTTATCAGTGAATACACACACACACACACACACACACACAGACAACTGGATGCAGTTCAGTTCAGTTTTATTAGTCATATGTGGGGTGACACAGGGTCAATGATACAATGAAATGTGTTGGACGAGAAAATCAGGTCAGCTCAGCGGTAATGGGCTGATCAGGCAGAGATGTGTCGCTATAGGCACGGCCACTTCAAAAACGCCTTGGCAAAGTGCGTTGAGCAAAACAGCTGGTGCGCCTGTGTAGCAGGACTCCACGGGCGATCGAATATGATTAACAGAAAAAAAAGGATTTAAGCGGACACCGAGCTCTTGCCATTCATGTGCTGCTAGACAAGAAGGAAAAAAAGCTCATAAAGTGGGCTGACCTTGAATTACATAGTTTATCAGAGTTAAATCCCTCTGACCTCTCAGCATTTGCCATTGTCCCACCGATGTATACCGGCATCAAAACAGGAAGCCAGTGGTAAAGTAGCAAAGCCTGCCTTTGTTTGAATTTATTGGATGCTTGGACACCAGGCACGCTGTACTACAGGGAAAACAAAGGTTTTGCTGCCGATACGTTTCTATTGACGCATCTGGATTTGAGCACTAGTTAAATAAAGATAAAATAAGATAAAAATATGTTTAAATAAAAATGGAATGAGATAAATAACTATATCAATATATGAAAATGAGGACTGTGTGTCAAACTAAAAATGTATACAGAAGTATTGCCTATTGGCTGTGAGTCGGTCCCAGTGCAATAGCAGCCATCATGGTTGATAGCAGGTAAGCAGATTTGCGATGTGGAATATTTCGATTAATGAGTTGAGAAGCCTGATGGCCTGATGGTAGAAACTGTCCTTAACTCTGGCGGTATGTGCAGCCATGCTCCTGTATCGTCTGCCAGGTGGTAAGAAGGAGAACAGTCTGCGTGCTGGTTGGCTGTGGTCCTTGAGGAAGCTGTGTGTGCATGCTCCACTGGTGAAAGATATCCTGTTTTCCCTGTTGCCAGTGATCTGCTGTGCCTCTTCCACCCCTCTGTAGTGATTTGAGATCACATTATTATTATTATGAGATCCATGGTGGTTGTGTCAGCAGATTGCAACCATTTGAATACCGCTCCCTTTCCAAGTGTGTAGGACAAACTAAGGTGGCCACAAAACTCATGTAGAAACATGGCGGTTGAACACGGCAAACTCCATTTAAGAGGACCCACTCCCTCTGTAGATAAAAACATCTCATTCTAAGGTAACAAAAACACAGCGATTCTTATTTCCAGGTGATTATACACTAATGAAAAACATACCTATGCATATTATATTCCCATTTCCTGCCAATAGATCCTCCTAAAAGTTACACACTGGACCTTTGGTGTTCCAATACATGATTTTAAGCATTCTCTACAAATCTCCCTCTTTGGTCTCTTACAGCTGTGAAAATCAAGCAGCTCACAAGATACCCTCTGGACATGTACTGTACCATCACAAGATTAAACATTGACATTTTCATAAATGATTTGGCCATTTTGCTTTCAACTGTAAAACGTCTGTGAAAATGAAGGAAATTTGAATTCTTTAATTTTGCGTTGCCCAATCTTTCATGCCTCA